ATTCCTGAGGGCCCCCCCCCCTTCCCTCCCAGTTTCCACTTCATTCCTTTCCCTGCTGTTTTCCCAAACAGAAATTCCTGTTCTTTGACTAATGGTCTCTTTATTGGTTGAACTGCAGGGCTGGTGTGGGGGATTAAAGGGAAACACAGGGAATGCAGGTACAACTTGTGGAGAGCCATGTGGTGTTTCTGATTTACATTGCCCCTTGCTGTGCTCTCCTGATTGTGCTCCTGTCTGGAAAAAAAGTTCTGGCATGCATGGAAGAGGCATCATGAACCTTTTCTGACAATCCCAGGTTGATATCGATGAAATGGCCCTTGTGATCCACCAGCACCTGCAGCACTATGGAGAAGTACCCCTTGTGGTTCATGTACTCCAAGGCAAGGTGGTCGGAGGGCCAAGATGGAGATGTGCATCCATCTATGGCCCCACCACAGTTAGGGAAGCCCATTGCGACAAAGCCATCCACTATGGTGTCCATGTTCACCAGAGCCACACCCCCTGTAGCAGAATGTTATTAATGGCTTTGGCTACTCGTATGAGAATAGCCTCCCACTATAGACTTCCCCACTCCAAAATTATTCCCAACTGACTGTTACCTATCTGGTGTTGGAAACTTCCATAAGTCAATTGCCACACACTCCTCCTTGGTCAGAGCAGGTCTTGGCCGTGTATTCTGGCACCATAGGGCAGGAACAGGCCATTCACAAAATTCAAGGAATGTGGCCTTCTGCATTTGGAAGTTCTTCAGCCACTGCTTATGTCTGCATCACAATGCGGTCCCACCAGTCTGAGCTTCTTGTGCCGCCAGAACCGGTGTTGCACTGTGTCCAGGGGACTGATTGGCGGCCGCGCTAAAAGTTCTTCAGCCACTGCTTATGTCTGCATCACAATGCGGTCCCACCAGTCTGAGCTTCTTGTGCCGCCAGAACCGGTGTTGCACTGTGTCCAGGGGACTGATTGGCGGCCGCGCTAACATCAGCACCAGGCCTTGCATGAGCAGCAATTCCATGCCATATGCCAAGCTTCATCCTTGTCCTCTTCTTGGATGAGTGATATGCGTACGCTGTCGAAGTACTGTGCCACTAGTCATACCACGACACACATGAACATGACAATGCTTTCCTGCAAACCGGGTTCCATGCTTGTGCCGCTTTGGCATCTGCATAGCACAGGCAACCAGGACACCAAAAGGCATGATGTCATTCCTGGTCCCTCCTCCCTCCCGTCTCCCCTTTATCTCATGCAAGGGGGAAGGACTAGATGAGTGCACTGTCGACTTGTGGACCCAGCGGGCACCGTGAGCATAGCTCAGAATGTGAAGCTACCCACAGTATCTCACTCTCTGAATCAATGCTAGGCTCCCTAATGGAGACACATTGTTTCCAGAGCCAGCCCAAGCTACGGGATGACTGGGCTACCACCCGGGGCACCCCATTGT